GTTCGATAATATCATCTAGAATTGAGTCAAATTACGCTAGAGCTTTGTATTCAATAATAGATTTGTATAGCTAGAATGGATTCGTGGGCGGTCAGGAATCTTTTTTGAGTATTATTTTTTGCTGTTTCGAATTCTGTCCCAGAAACCCCATTTTGGCCTTACTAAAGGCCAGTTAATTTTAGTTCGAATTGTTGGCGTAGTGAAATTTGCATGGGATCGAGGTTGGTGGGTTCTACTCATAATACAATTTCAAGGAATTGGATAGACCAGTGATTATCATAGAAAGGTTTGATAGTTTCTGCTTTTTCGAAGACAATAAAGGCAATTTGCCATGGACTGCGGATGATCATAGAGAATTTGATGATTGTGCTATATTTAGCAAAGTAATTTCGTAACACATCAGATTTAACAAACAAAAGGATGTCAGAGATCTTCAGGGTCTTTCCTTTTTCAGCATCTTATTTGATCTGCTTTTAGGCTGGTCTACTACTGTGAAGATCGGATTATGTTGTGATTCTTGAGTATCCTTTATTGCATGCAAGAGTTCATCCATTGTACAAAAGTAGACAAAGAATTTTCTCATTTTGGAAATGTAGTTAGAGCCTTAATAGCCATTATAGCATATGAATAAGGAGTTGATGTTTGTACGTTTCTCAGCAATAGATTTTTCATTAATGTCTGACGCGTTATCAGTTTTGCAAAAACACGTTAAAGCAGTGATGATATTATAGGTAGCACCTTTATTTTCTTGTTCACGTGACTCATTTTTGGAGACTTCATCAGACCAAGATTGTTTAGATTTTCTGTATTGTCATCAGGAAGTTCATAAAACCTGTGTCTTTAAACATGTCATGAGTAGTGTCTTTAGCATGCATAGAATCATTGGTTGTAAGTATTAGTGAAATAGGAGTTTGTTGTTCAGTTGGAAAGGTAGTTAGGTCAACTTCCATATCAGCTGGTTTGTAAATTTCAGTATCTTCTAAAGGTTGTGAGTTTATTGAAGGAGTTGGGATAACGGTTTCAGAAGTTTGTTTGTTAACAATATTTTGCATAGTTATGTTATCAATTTTTTTGTTTGAAGTAGAGGTTGTTTTTTGTTTTTTGAGAGAAGTATTTTCAGTTGTATTAATATTTTTGGAACCAGAAGCTTCACCATTGCTGTTATAGTTAGGTCTTTGTTAGTTTATTATATTCGTTTGTGTTATTTGTTGGCAGAAGTAGCTCTAGTAACTGGCATTTTTATTTTTGTTATCGATCTTTTTTAAGAAATTGGGAAGTCGTAAGAAAGAGTTTTTTTTTTTTATAAAAGATAACAAATATTATATATTATAGTAATGCCATATTAAAAAAATTAGAAATATATATAGTAATTATTAATAATTATTATTTAATCAAAATATAATAGCTATATAATAAAGATATTTAATAATAATTATACAATAATTAAATAGTTATAAGTAATGATTATTTAATATCTTTAGTTTTAAAATTAATTTAAAATGTATAATTAAGATAGATAAGTATAGCAAAATAGAGAGAGTTCAAAAAATATAATATAAAGTACTTTATAATAATATATAAATAGATACAATATTATATTTAGTAATATATTTTAAATAAATTATATTTTAAAAATTCTTATACAGTCAAACCTTGATATAGCGAACCTTTGATATAACAAATTTTTAAATCAAATATATTAAAATTACCTTACTATAATGAACTAGCCAATTAAATTCTTTAAAAAATTCATTATAAGCTTATAACGAAGTTGATATCCAGATCCTAGAATTCGTTATATCAAGAGTTCACTGTATAGTATTTGTAATAGAATACTTTTGGTCGAATTTAAGAACTTCAGCTTCTTCAGAACTAAGATTCCAGAAAGTAGCAACTGCATTAAAATCTGTATTCTTAATAACTAATGCTTCAACCTAATCTCATTGCGAATCCTTTTGTGATTCCCTATAACTCTTTGACTCTCATCTATTTTTATAAGTTGGAAGGAAACACCCGTACTGGCTATGAGACTACAAAGCTTTTCAATAAAATATCTTGCAGAAAGACGTTTCTGATGCTTAACTTCAATAAAAGTTATTATAGCTGAAGACGAATTAACTTTATAAGAACTGGTATTATTATTCCATTTACAATATCCTTTTATTGCTATAGGCAAATTATTAGGTTGAGCACTTTTAAGCTCTGCTTGAATATTTTCACAACCTGGCAGGCGAAAAAGTTCATTAGAATTCTTCTGATAAAATAAAGAAATAATACAACAGGAGGAATCATGAATTTGATAAAGCATTTATGCAAAAGCTTTAACATGAACTGGAGTGGCAATATTTGTAATAGCTATAACTATATTAAAATAGCCAGTAATTTTAAAAGATATACCTGCTTTCACTATATTTGTATAAGTCACGCAGTTGAGTTTACCTTAGGTATCATTAATATTAAAAAAGTCTTTTTGTCTTTGCTTTCCATCCATATCCCATAATATACACAAGCTCTAACAGGTGAATTATCAGGTTTAGATAACTTAGATGTTTTTTCTACTAACGCTCTAGCTATCACTGCTCTAGTAGATACAAATGCTACACATTTTTCTTGCCTTAAAAGGTCATATCCTATTTTTATAGCTTCAGCTTCACTATTCAGATCATAAAGAATTTCAACCATCTCATCCATATGAGGCTGGTATCTATTATCAATTATATGAATGTCTTCATCATGATATGCTTTAAGAAATGCTAATATTAACTTATTCGCAAAAGCATCTATAGTCAAAACATGTTTTGCAGATCTTAATACATCACATATTGCATTCTCAGATTTCTGTACATTTGTATCATTAGACATTTGACGCATAATAATATTGATTTCATCGAGAATAGCTACAAATGGATGAGCTGTGAACTCTATACAGAAAAGACTCTTAACTTGTACTATAATAATATCTTACTCATTTATAGATAAGTCTCCTAGTCTATTTTGGTAGTTACAAATTCGAAAGCTGAACGCTTTTAACTCATCAAGTTTTGCTTTTGACTCATTATTAAGAGATTTTTAGTAAGAGATCCAGATATAACATGGTATAGAAGAGATATCATGCACTTTACTCTTTAATGCTATAATAATTTCTTTTAATGTAGTAGTTTTCCATATTGCTGAGAATGAGTGAATTAATGTAATTGTTCTTTTAGTACTTAAGAAATCAGAATATAATTCAAGAGCATATTTCAACTTTTTAACATTAATAACTTCCCTAGCAACTCTACAAAAGGATGTGGTTTTGCTATAGTATTAGCTATAGTATTAGCTATTCTTTGCTTAGATATTGTGAGAATTTTAGTCGCTTCTTCAAATACTAAACCTTTATGGTCTAGCTTATATTATTTTTACTAATAACATTTGAGTATAAAGCATCCATCTTTTTAAAGAAAGCCATACAACTGATTCCTTTCATGTTTGATATTGCAAATAGGGCATTCTATAAATGATTTGGCATAAAAGGCAATAAACCCTTTTTCAGCTTTTCTGATTTCAAGCCATTCATATTTTGCAATAACTAAGCTATCTTCCTTGCTTAAAGCAGTTTTATCTTCGATAGGTTTGAACTCCTCTTTTTCTGACTTCTAAGAAGAAAAGGTTCGTGACCAAATTTCTAAATAATTTAGTTTAAGTTGAATTATATAATCCTCTAGTTTACGCATTCTGTTCTTGACCGAAGAAATTGCAGGTTTTTTGATTCTATCTCCCTTTGTTGATCTAAGAAGTCAAAGACTAAAACATGATTTGTAAAGCATAAGATCAATAAATTCAGAATATGGTTTTTTAACTCTATCAGCTACTTTTTTCGCAAAATCCCTAAGGTCTTTATAATCAATAAAATAAGCTAAAGGATATATGATATGCCAACTGCATTTATCAGTACTAGACGAACTAGCTAAAGCAAAATCATTTAAAGTTATGAGATGTTTTAAATCAGAGTATAAGATATCAGCACAAGCAATTAAGATTCTGGATAATAAATCATCACGAGAAATTTTATATCTATCTAAGAAAATGAGTTTAGGATTCGTAGGATCAGGCTTCTGCCTTGCATCAATATCAAGAACTAGGCAAAGAGACAGGTTTCCATCAATATATTCATGAGCATCAGGCATCCCATAAATTTCAGATGGATGATCAATAACTGTAAAACTTTTTCCAGATACTTGAATGATATATTTATCAAAAATCTCTTCAGGATGATAAGTATTTAAAAGAGCAATATCATTTTTATTATTAGTTTCCAATAAATGTTGAAAATATGTATGATCATTATAGCTAGACTTATAATCAAGGTCCATTACACCTAAGAAGAGTCTTATTGCTTCATTTATTTCTATAGGATTGGGTTCAAATTTTTTTGCGTAATAGATTCTGATATCATGGGTAATAAAACAAACAAGTATAAATTTATATAGAAAATATAAACTTTAAAATAAAATTATTAGTAATCAATGTAAAGATATCCTGAAGTAGTAACTATATAAGAACAAGATTTAAATACTAAAAACATGCAAAATATTGGTGATCCAGATGAGCAGAATTATATATAGGAAAGTGAGAATAAATTTTATGCATCTGGAGTCACCAATCAAAGATATCTTGAAGTAGTAACTATACATAAACACAGTCTAAAAGCCAAAAACACGTGAAATCTTGGTAACTCAGATAAGCAGAATTATATATAGGAAAGAGAGAATAAATTTTATGCATCTGGATTACCAACTCAGCATTTTGTATCTTATCCTCAGTGATCAAACAGGTTATAAAAGGTGGGATTGCAAGAATGTCACAATACAAATACTTCATATGTGCTTCAGCAGCAATCAAAAAGTGGGTGAATAGATTAAAACATTTCTTAAGCAAATAGATAGATTGCAAATTCAGTACTTCATGTCTCATCCGGCAATCAAGAAATGGCAATTGGAAGGAAAGTAACTATGTAAAGATGTTCTGACATCAGAACAGTATCACATGACCAGGGTTAGGAAGTACAGTGTTAGTACAATGATTAGTACAATTAGTATAGTTAGTATATTATAATAATTAATATAAAAATTAGTACAAGTACAGTACAAGTACAATGTTAAATTTATCTAGTATATACAAAATTCCCAACTCTGTACATGACTATAACGCAGTAAAATGAAATATTAATTCACTTATTTTCAGCCAACCCCATTCCATAAATTTGGTCAGAAGTTTGGATATAATAATTCAGCACCCAAGCTAGCATAAAACTGGTGAACTAATAGAACGTCTCTGGCATCTTACTAGTTCTATGATAGTATTCAAAAGATTAGCCAGAGTTATATCATAGAGCTAGCAAAAATTAATTGCAAATCCACTGCATCATCTGACACATTTTTTTATCACAATTTGGCCTTTTAACAGGCAATCAAACAAGTGCAAAAATGAAGCATTATCAATATCTTAACAGGTCACAAAACAGGCTCAGAAGCAGGTAAACAAATAAATAGCTCTTTAGAAATAAAAAGAATACAGAGTAATATAAATACATGGATAGTTTCTTGATAAAAGAAAGGTCATAGATAAGTGAAAAAATATACTCCATCAGATTATAACACCTCTGTTAGATTATATAATAATTACGCTATTGGATCATGACACTACTAACCTACTATAATACTATATAGCAGAAATTAATTAAAATAGTAGTTAGAAAGTCATAAAGATAGGGATGTTATCAGTTTAACTCAGTTCAATTCAGTTTAAAAACTGCCAGTTAGTCTTTAAGTTGAGCTGACCTCCGGTTTGTTATTTGAAGTTAAAACTGCAGTTGTAACTATGATTCTAACTTCAATTAATCATGTGTTTGAATTTTTATTGGTTAATTAATATAACCGCAGTTTGTATTTTAAAAAAATCCTTTGTTTTGAAAAATAAAATGGCAAATAAATGCTTTATATATGCTTAAATTTAAAATAAATTTGATAATTATTTAAAAAAATGTAATCTGTTTGATAAATTTGTTTATTATATTTTATTAATAAAATAGCATTATTAAAAATACTATAAACTGAAAATAACAAGTTCAAACAATTTTATTATTAACTGAACCAGCATTTTGTTCCATCCAGCTTTTCAAATACAAAGAAGCATGTATTAGGATTAAGACGATTTTGAACTTTTGTTATAGTATGTGATTAAAGATGCTAGCCGAAACTCTCTCAAAATAATTTCGTCATATTCCTTACTATGTTTTTAATATAGTTTCAGCTAATTTCAGGTTTCGGAGTTTCGTCGTACGCCTCACTATATTTTAATATAGTTTCGGCTGTTTATTAATTGCCTTTTTTGAGTTTCATCCCTCATTTTTAAAAATGATGCATTTTAAATCATCTTCAGAATAATTATATTAATAATAATTTAATAATAGTAATAATAGTAATAATAATAATAATAGTAATAGTAATATAATAACTATAATAATTTATAATAAAATTTGAATTGTTTTTTAAAATAAAATCTTTGTTATTTTATTAAATGTAAAAAGAAAAAAAAATAATTGATAAAGGTTAAAGCAAGTAAAATTGCATATTAAGAAACTAATTTAATAATCTTTTTTATTTACTTTTTGACTTTTTAAGCTACAGTATTTTCTCATTAACATTTATTCAATTTGCATTATTTTTCACGTTAAAGATTACTTAAAAGCATTGATAAGACTATTCTAATGCAATATCACAATAATCTGCTAATTTTAAAGATTTTTTTTTTACTAATTGTTTATTTAATTAATTTAAAACAATATTTAATTTAAACTAAAGTTAATTGTATTTTAATTATTATAAAAAACATTATAAATACAATATATTAAAACTTCTGAAATTTTATTATATATTATAAAACATACAATTGTTTAAAATTAATCAATTTTATAATATTTTTACTAAAATTTAATATTTACAAAAATGTTGATAAAAAATCAAATTTCTTTTAACTTATCTAGCTCTTTTTAATATATTATTATTTTCTCTTGTATAATATGATATATCATACTTTTTAATCTATATTATTATTAAAAGTAATGATAACTTTTCAAATGTCCATATTAATTCTAAGATATAATATAAAATTATTGTATATGATATAAACAAAACTCACATTTTAACTGTTTTAATATCAAGGTTTCTTAATATTTCAAATCCTACTTTTAATCTTCTAAAAGCATTTTCTACTACAATTTGATAAGATGAATAAAAACAGTTAAAATCCTTTTATTTTTGAGAATTTGGATCTTTAAAAGATAGAATTAAAAGGGAAAAATAATATGCATTCCCTTGAATAAGATTAAAATAATCTTTATAAAAAGAAGAATTTTTAAAAACTTATGTATCATGTACTGAAGCAGTCCAACCTATATTTAAATTAGTAAAAATCTCTCTGTCATTTATAATACCTTGACAATGAATAGCATAATGTTTTTTTGAATAAAATAAACTTCTAGATTTTTGTTTAAAACATTTTTCATAAGAATATATGTTCTATCAACTACTTAAATTACATTTTTAACTTCCTAAATCTTCAAACCCTTTATAACCTTTTTTATATTCTTCCAAAGTAGGCCACTTGACAAAAGTTTCATTTTGTATTATAATTGCTTGAATAACTGTTTAATATAAAGAATTAATATTTCAAATTATAAACAAATTTCAACCAAATTTTTAATTGATAAAAAATACACAGCTAATTGAAATTCAACAAAAATTTGAGGTTTATTTCTTTGAAATAAAAATATAGAATAAGGGTATATAAGATTAGCTAATTGTTGAAAATAATATAAAAATATTTGCAAAAGTTTTTGAATCAAATAGGATCATAAAGTATAAGAATATTTTGTTATATATCTTTTGATTTAGCTACATGATTATACATGAAGTCGAAATGAAAACCCAAAAGTCGAAATGTTTTGACTTTAAAAGTCAAAGTCAAAATAAAAATTCGAAATGGTCGAAATTACGTCATATCACATGATTTTTTATATATATAAAAAAAATAAAAGATATACAATCTCGGTCAATATCGCTCCGATTCA